GAGAGAGAGAGAGAGAGAGAGAGAGAGAGAGAGAGAGAAAGGAATGGTGATAATTAATAATAAAGAAAACAAGTCGGGTTGATCTCTCCAAATTGTTAGTGACAATATCAATTAACGTATATACTGTATAATGAAGTCAAAGTAAAACAGGCGGTCTAAATATTTTGATGAGGCCATTTCCTTTCTTTTTAATACAAAGCTGTGTTCGAAGGAGGTAGAGGGGGTAATGATCCTGGTCACCCATATATCATGAGAGCGAAGTGTAGCTGTAACTTGGTTTTAGTAAGTGTTTTACGGCACTCGCAACACAATAAGGTCAAGTGCCGAAGATTAGAGTTTATTTTTTATTTAGTAGAGGTTTTACGGCACTCGCAACTGCATGGAGGGTGTTACAAGAGAGTAACAAACACAAAAAAGGATGGAAGATAAAGACGATAGATATTTGATAGGAAAAAAGAAGCAAACCACACCAGAGTCCCCGCCAACCACCCACCGCTGTAACTTTCCCTTCTATTGACACTCCTAATCATTTAGGAGGCGGGTTTCTCCAAGCCTTCCTGTCAGGACCAGCCCAGGAAGTACCGACTGGGATATGAATCCCGAGAGACAGACGTAGATAAAAAATAAACACACAAAAGCCTCCCCTCCAGGGAATTGAACTCCGTTGTTCTGCTTGAGATGACGAAGAGTGTAACTGCTACACCACTTACATTGAGCAAAACAAAGGAGGAGGAGGGCTATAGAGAGAGAGAGAGAGAGAGCGGGAGAGAAGGCAGGGGGGGGGGAGAAAGAGGGAGGGAGATAGAGAGAGCTCAGAGAGAGAGAGAGCTCAGAGAGAGAGAGAGAGAGAGAGAGAGAGAGAGAGAGATTGATTGATTGATTGAGTAGATGATTTACAGCACTATCGACACAATTTTGGTCATTTAAGCGCCAACAGGTTTCACCGCTACAAAATCAGACATGTTTTTAGTAAGAGTCTTTCGGAGCTCGCAACGGCACACGATCACACTATTTTTATTATGCTAAAAAGACGAACAAACATTTATAAAAGTTTTTGTAAATATGGAAAAGGCTTATTTACATTTGTATATACAATATTAATTTCAGTGTATGTATATATACACTGATAGTGATAACTATATATTTTCATTCTATTAAATAGTCCAATTTCTTTTATATAACTTAAAATTTTTCTAGGGCCTACGATGTCAAAAAGGGTCTTAATATCTTTACATTTAAAATATTTCTTACAAACATCATTAAATTCGACACATTTTCCATTAGGATGTGCCGAACTGTGAAATTTGTGTTGCACGCCACGCAAAAAGAGAGAGATTGAGAGAATAGGGTGGTGAGATAGAAGTAGTTTTCCCTATGCAATGTCTTCGGCTGCTATGTACTTTTCCAACATTTACCAGGACAGACCATAGCGCAACACACAAGTCTGCAGAGAGAAATATCACCATACGTTTTTCAGACAGGACAGGACTAACTTACACTTACAAATTGACATAAAAAAAGCACAAAAAGCAGTAGCAGATCTTTGTACAATGGTTTATTCTTGACTTTTTTCATTATAAAAGATGTTAATCGGGGTGGCTTCAACATTCCCCAAGAAATACATTAGGTACCCAACAGGCAATAGGCTTAGGAAGATTCCTGTGCATAAAACCTATCCGTAATACCACTAAAAGACAAGCCATACCACGGCACTCCAAAAATTAATGATCCCGGCTAAACAAATCCAGATGGTAAAAAAACCCTTTTAACTTTGACCTTCTGATGGCTGGATACCAACAAGGAAATCCAGAAATAGAAGTATCAGATGTTCACCCATTTCTTCAGTCATGTCTCATCCAGAACTGGCTCAATCATTTGAGGCAAATATTTAACAGCTATGACCGGAGTAACAAAAGTATTCACTTGAACAATCATTTTGTCTTTGTATTCTGTCATAGTTTAACCACTCTGCCTGATGCAAAAAACAAAAAGTCACTGTAACAGTGGGCCACATGCATGAGGACACAAAGTTGAAAGAAACCGTTCCAGAAATGGAACTGAAAACCCAACATAAAAGAAAAACAGCTCATTCACATGATTGTCGTGAATTTGGAACCACCTAAAGCAAGAGAAACTAGCTCTGAAACATAAAAGAAACCAATGAAAAAGTAAAAGTATCTTTAAAACCAGACTTTAAAAACAGCAATCAAGAAACGCTGCTTTACTAGATTGACTGGGAACCAACAGCCCCCCTCCCCCACCTCCCCTCACAACAGTAATCAGTCCTTGTTTGGTTTGCAAACTTTACACCTCTCTTGACAGAGATAAGGTTACTTCCCAAGCCACCAACATCTAAGACAAAACTCATCAACCAAAACCGAGATACAAGCATCAACGAAAACACAGCCACAAGAGTCAACATTTCCCCAACAAACCACAGGATGAACAATTTGGAGGCTCTCAGAGAAGCACAATCACAACAAATAATGGTTATTTTAAACTGATGAAAAATAAATTTAAAAATAAACAAACCAATCAAGTAAAAACAAAAATAGATAACCTGTCAACAGCATTTGCTTTCATCCCCTAACAGAGTGAATGCATTCTCAATAAGCTCGGAAGATTAAACACACAAGACGAAAGATTTCGGTTAAAATGAATACAGAAAAACACCCCCACAAATCAAGGCATAACCTTACATGATATACACAAGTTTCTAACCTGGTACCCGTCAACACTCATCAAGTCCAGTGAGCAAAGTAAATTAACATTTCTCTAATCTTCCCAGCGTATAAACAGCTATCTCTTCTAAATGCATTTTCCAACAGATAAATAGATTCCAAGGTTTGAAAGAAAAACAATGGAAAAAACAAATTTCCTTGCAAATCTTTTCAAGGCTAAACAATACTCAAATGAAGTGCTTCTAAAATGAGGAGCACACATGACAAAATGCACATGATAGATACACAACTTTTACTCACATTTGTGGTGTTCTCAAAACATTTGTTGTCTCAACAAGTTTCATATAAGTAAAAAAAAACCCAACCCAACCCTTCTGAAACCAGCATGTGATTCACCACCCAACCAATCACTGGCCTACCGCGAAAATACAAAACCACTGTGACAAGCCATTAAGTCAAATCTGGAACCCCCTTGAATTAACAGCCCCCCCCAGGACAACCCCTTCGTGTTTAAACACAAAAAAAAACAACTTCTAATGGTACAATAGCTGTAAGATGACCCAGCAGAAAGATTTAACTGTCATGGAAATTGTAGATATTTTAGCCCACATCAATACAATTCAGTAAATTAGCTCATTTAGGACGGGGCGGCTTCAACCCTGCCTGTAAGGGCCAACCCCGACCGAGAGAGATACAATGTCCCAGCCCAGCGGAAAGACATAAGATTCTATGCTTGATTTAAAAATACCTCACACATGGGAATCTAACTTGTGTCTTTTCCACACTAACTGCTACACCACAGCTGTCGGTCCAGCTCCGACATAACAGATTAACTCAAGCATCGCCATAATTCATTTTCCGCTCATGCCTAGAAGCCACTCATGAACAATCCACACCTTAACACAGCAACTATGACGTGACATTTGACACATTACACAATACTGAATCAAAACTCGTAAGGAAATAAAGGGGCAGACACGTAGCCCTAGCTGCCACTCTTACCGATGGTCAGAATGATCTACCAAACAAATTAGGTTGGGAAAATTAGACAACTAAACTCATTGTGGAGAGAAAAAAAGTTTGCTACATGATGTTTACTAAGTATCTCAACCACCCACAAAAACTTTCATCTCTATTCTTCTTAGTGAGTGATCATGTTGAGTCAACAAATTATTTTGACGTATCTTAACACAGCAGCATTCGATCAGTGCTGAAAAGAAAACACATGCCAACAGACTCTACTGTATACCGGTACAGAGTTCTTCACTAAGAAACTATTAGTTATTAGTAAAACAGTAGAATGAACACACCTTCTTTGAAAGCAGACCCAAAAAAACAACTACAATGCCAATATCATGAAGAAAATATTGACAAGTGAATCTTCATAGGAAAAGATCAGAATAATGCCTCATTTTTTGCTACTGCATATTTAGCTAGAATGATAATGGTACCACTATAGAAATTAAATAAATATATAGAAAAAAACTGCCTATATTTCGCTGCTCTTTCTCTTTCTGAATTATAAATTTTGCCCTTGTCATTAGAGACAGACCACAGTTTGACACAACTCACAAGTGTTCATGCCCACTGCTCATTGTAAGACTCCGCCAGATGTCACTTTGAAAAACGATGTACGCAGAAGTCTTACACTGAGCAGTTAATGCTTTTGTTTTACTTTAAAGCTTAGCCTTCCCATGTTTTCAAATGCTGTAATTATGTTCCAATACAGCACAGACTTCTAAAAAGTATTACAACACCCCCCCCCCCCCTCCAATTTTTTTTTCTTTGTAATAAAAAAAAAAGAAGAAAAATAGTGAAATAAAAATCAACCAGCCAAATCAAGACAGACAGTACAAAGAAAACAGTGCAACATTCCTTGTATTTAGATCTCTAGAGGTGCTGCTGGTCAGAGGGCTCTGTTGAGTTTCTTCCCATCGATGACAGTCTTGATCTCATCCTTGTCCAGAGTCTCATACTTTATCAGCGCTTGGGCCAGGTTGTTCAGCTCCTGCTGGTGCTGCTTCAGGATGTTCCGGGCCCGGTCGTACGAGTCCTGGACACAGCAAGCCAGAGGTTTCATTTGAAATCTTAACCATTATCAATATTGTCAGGGACATTTCCAATTGAAGATGTTGGCAATAAAATAAACAGATTGTTTAAGGCACTTTACTTAAATTAAACCAACCTCCTCAACTCAAAGAAAACTCAACTGAATTGAAATATTCTTTTAAAATAATAATAATAATTATTATCACATATTTACCGCTGGTCAATTCATTGATTTTGCATTCATCAACAGCATGCCATGCCACAATATGTGTGGCCGTCTGGGATAACCCGTCGGAAGTCGCTGGCTCTAGTCTTGAGCTATGTGCTTCCAAAGTCAAATTTCATCATTTTGGTCGAATTTGAGATATTATCATGATTGGTTTCTTCATTCATTTATCTTTCATTTTCTTTTAATCTTATTCTTTAAATCAGTTTAGAAATGTATTTTCAAAGTGTAATTTGAAGTCCCCCTAATTAAGGTTTTCAGCACCGATGAGGAAAAATAGCACCTGATTTTGTCTGTCAAACCCCCGATTCCATTACGCGATTTGAACACGCTCATAATGTAAAACTAGGTCGTGCCTCATACCAAAACAAAGGTCTTTCTTTCTACTTTTTAACTATGACGTTTGCGCATAAATACGTGACATGTACAAGTAGTGCGCATCCAATTTACACAGGTGACCTGTGGTATTCCGCATCTCGTTGAAAAGTCCGACATTCTGAGGCAAATACTGCCATCAAAAACCCGTTTTGCTCACTTTAATTGATGCAAAACTTATAACTTTATATTTAGAAAATGATAATTATATAGTTTATCTTAGTTTTATCAAGTTTATTCATAGACAAAGAAACTTCTCTCCCAACCGCGCGAGTTTTGTTTCACTCATCACACTTCATGCAGTTGATGAACGTTCAGGATGGCGAGCTCCGTGTTTAGCACCGATGATGAGATTGCAAAGCTTTTAAATTTAAATCGAGCCGATTCAGAAGCATACCATGAAGTTGTGGATTCATATTTTGGATCAAGAGATGACGATGAGGATGATTTATCAAGTGGTGATGAGGAATCTAATTCTGGTAAGTGGGAACTTAGATCTGGTTGTTGTTTCGATACAAACATGTTTGATGTCCACAGGCCTGGATCTCGTAAGTTAGGGTTACTCTCTGTTGAATTTCTGCTTTGTTGATTCAAATTTATAGGAAAGGTGAATAGAAATTATGTTTTTATTGTTTACAAATCCACATATCTAGATCTGCATCAGAATAGGCCTAGACCTAGACCTTGATCCAGATCTAAATCATAGATCTAGATCTAGATCTAGATCTAGATCTAGATCTACCAAAACACCTGTACTGTAGGACTGTAGGCAGATCTGATCTAAGATCTAGATCTAGATCTAGTCTAGTTCTAGATCTAGTGTCTAGATCTAGCACTAAACTTTAGATTCCTTGTCTTCAGATGTTATACTCTATCTATTTAAATTAATTATTGGTTTGTATATTCATTTATCTTGTTTTGTTGATAAAATAGTCGAGCAGTCTCTTGTAAATCGGAGACTGTCGTTGCTCATCAATGATTCGATAACACGACACAACAGCAATAAAAACACTTCGCAATACATAGAAATCTAGATCTAGATATCTAGCTAACCGTACATGGTGAAACAGTTTCATTAATTTATCTTTTTGTTTGGTTGTAATTCAATTTTAAAATGCACGCCGTCTTTGTTTTCAACAAGTAAGCTATAACTTATAACATAGATTCTATATTCATCACGTCAAGTGAAATTCAAATGATGCCAGGCAGAATGCACCACTGTAAGTGATTCAACCTCATAAATTCTTGTTTTAACTCTTCAACTAACCACTATGTTGTAATTAAATGCTTTGGAATGGTTTGCATGCAATTTTTGTGTTTTACTAACATCATTAACACATGGGGGGGCCTCAAATCTGAAGGCCAACTTTTAAGTGCTGTTTTCTCAAAAGTGACTTTTCGGAGGGTACCACACATAAAAGGCCATAACTTTTGATCTATTGAAGATAATCTAGTCAAATAAAAAGCAAAATGTTCAGAATTGAATGCATAATCCAAATATGTAAATAACTCAAAAGTGATAGAGTGACCCATGTGAAGGGTTTTCCTGGACAGCCACACATATGTTCACTTAAAAAATGCTAGAGAAAGCAGTGCAGACTTTTCCCGGTACAAATGAGAGAGGAACTCCCTTATTGGCAACCACAATTTGATTTCATATTATTTTTTGTTTGCTTTTATATAAGTGTTTTACGGCACTCGCAACTGCATAAGGTCATATGAGCGTGCGGGACACACTTAACTTTTTCTGTTGGTAGGAAATTTTGAATTTTGCCCAGGTGGTGGCTAAGGAATACTCTTATCGATTTTAGACCACCAAGGGATCTTTAACGTGCGCAACTTGCACATGGGCCCTCCGAGATTTTTCGCCCTTGTCCGAGAAGGCTAGGTGTAGATCTTTCCTACCAGAAAATCAGGGGTGTGGCTGAAAGACAGCAGTAAGAAGAAGCCAAGGAGTAGCAGTAGAAAGGCTGTAGAAAGAATCAGGAGCCCAGAGGAGGGGGGCAAAGGAGATGAGGGAGTGGGAGCAGAAAGAGGAGACGAAAGCAGACGACAGAAAAATTGTTAGGGAGCAGGAAAGGAGGTGAAAGGAGACAAATTTAGAGAAGAAATTTTTCGGTCACTACCCGTATTCGAACCCGGGACCTTTGAATGAAAAGCCAACACCTTAACCTCTAGGCCACGAGAGCCCCTGTTTTCATAATACATTAAGTGAAAAATATATACAAAATAAAAGACTTTCGCTCCATATTTAGCATCTACAGTAAATTATACTAGAGTATCATTGTACGAAGAATACAGAAAAAAAAAAATCTACTTAACTTCAAACACTAATTGTATCTGTCAGTGACTTAACTGTTGCCTGACGAGGAAAACGATGACAATTTTTACAAAAACTACGCACCGAAAGGAGACGCCTGATTTCATTGTCAATGGCTTCTCTCTGAGCAGGGCTGATGTCCATATCACTGAAAGATCGCAGGCCAACCTGAAGAACAAATACGAGTTTTCATGTGGGAGCCTGACTGGCACAATAAGCAGATGCACACATATCAACAACTCACATTATCATTGGGTACAATAAAACTTACAGAACAATCTGTCAAGAAGAGGTTAATAATAATATCATCCATGAATGTCCATAATTCTGTCATTTGTGTATAGGTCTAGTTACATTGAGTATGTGTCCCGGTTCTTTATCATTCTCTGCACGTATGTATAAACTGCATTGGTCTTAAAATGAATGTGTCTCATTGTGCTTTATAATTTCATCCACGTATGTGTATTAACTGTATTGGAGTTATATTAAGTATGTTTATGCTATTCTTTAACATTCTATGCATGTAACTATTGGAACTGTATTGAGCATTAAGCAAACTACTTTAAATCAAACTATGCATACACTGAACAATCCACTGTACCCTGTTTCCGCAAGGATAAAAGTAAGAGCAGTGTTCCTCAGAAATGTATAAAACAAAAGCTTCCTGCAGTCACTCACTTTGTCGGACATGCCGTTGACCATGACCATGGCAGTGGCAACGCGTGTGGCCATCTGTAGATCGTTGGATGCACCAGTGGTCACCTTCTCCATGCCATATATGACCTCTTCCGCCGCCCGGCCACCCATTGCAGTGTCCATGGACGCCTTCAGCTGGGCTACGGTCCTGTTGTACACTTCCTTCTCATCGATGAAGGCAGTCTGAAGACCACAGAATCATGGTGAAAACTAATGTCTGAAGACCACAGAATCATGGAGAAAACCAATGTCTGTAGACCACAGAATCATGGTGAAAACCAATGTCTGAAGACCACAGAATCATGGTGAAAACCAATGTCTGAAGACCACAGAATCATGGTGAAAATCAAGGTCTGAAGACCACAGAATCATGGTGAAAACTAATGTCTGAAGACCACAGAATCATGGTGAAAACCAATGTCTGAAGACCACAGAATCATGGTGAAAACCAATGTCTGAAGACCACAGAATCATGGTGAAAACCAATGTCTGAAGACCACAGAATCATGGTGAAAACCAATGTCTGAAGACCACAGAATCATGATGAAAACCAATGTCTGAAGACCACAGAATCATGGTGAAAACCAACGTCTAAAGCCCACAGACTCATGGTGAAAAACATGTCAGGACCACAAAAATGTGTGTGGGGGGGGGGGGGGGGGGACCCAAATCCATCTGAATCATGGTGAAAAATGTTCCACACCTCAATCAGAGTAAAAAAACATTACAAACCTCAATTGTGGTGAAGACGTGAACAATATGGTGGAAAAACATTACACACCTCAACCATGGTAAAATCACCCTAATATAATCATGGTGAAAATGTTATCCAAACCAATAAAATTTAAAACATTAAAGAGGCAGCCTGTGCAGGATTCATCCCAGCAAACAGACAGAGAAATACTCTCCAAAATAAGTAAACTCCCCTAACAAAAAGACAGAAATGCTCTCTGGATAAACATAACTGCAATGTTATTCTACAAAGTGTGAGAGCCAAAGTTCTAGTGACGGCAACAAAATAGATGAGTAAAAAGTTTCTGTGTCATGACAAGGAAGATGGGTCACCTGCAACAGCTGCCTGTCAATTTCCATTGTATGTCATGACTTCTGTCAGAACTGGGTATTGTCTTAACTATGAACGAAAACAGCAAATGGGAGGGACAGAGGGAGGGAGCAATGTAATAGCGCATGTGTGTGTGTGTGTGTGTGTGTGTGTGTGTGTGTGTGTGTGTGTGTGTGTGAGTGAGTGAGAGTGAGAGTGAGAGAGAGAGAGAGAGAGAGACAGACAGACAGACAGGCAGACAGACAGACAGACAGACAGAGAAAAAGAGAGACAGACAGACAGAGAAAAAGAGAGACAGACATAGACACAGAGAGAGAGACTTACGTGTCCAAGAGACTGCCCACGAGGAATGATTGTGACTTTGTGCAGAGGCGTGGCATCCTTTGTGTAGAACGCGACCAAAGTATGTCCGGCCTCATGGAACGCCGTGATCCAGTTGGTTTCTTCATCTGGAATACGATGCTTTCTCTCTGGACCTGATGTAACAATGAAGGTAAATTACTAGAGTTTGGGCAAAGACAAGCACTTCAACCGTATAGCAGCCATTAACACTTTGACACCTTATCTTGCAGATTGCCGATGTTTACCACCCAGTTTCATTGGATTTTCCCCAAAATGAGGTGGCAAAGTCTTAAGTGCTTGTGATAAAAAAGCAAGGCAGACTGACGGAAACAACAGTTTTAGTTTAGTTTTACTAGAGGGTTTTACGGCGCTCGCAACTGCATACGGTCATATGAGCGTCAAGGGGTGGGTGTCAACAGAGAAGTCTTTACAGGGAATCAGACTTACTCTGCTCACCTCTCTAGCTTCAACAGCACAAAGTCTGCTTCGACTATCAAGGTACTTCGGAAATAGCAGGTCACAAATGTGTGACAAACATACAAAAGAAGTAGAGGAAAATGACAATAGTAAGGATTAGGAAAGAAAGAGCAGCAGTTCCCAGTTGTAGATAAGGCACAGTTGTGAACGTGACATGATGAATCAGCCCATTTACAATTCTACTGTGCATGAATGAGAAATGTCCCCCCTTTGGGGATGGCCTAAAGACACTACAGTCAGTGGCATTGCCCCGGGGGGGGGGGGGGGGGGGGGGACCCAAATCCATCTGAATCATGGTGAAAAATGTTCCACACCTCAATCAGAGTAAAAAAACATTACAAACCTCAATTGTGGTGAAGACGTGAACAATATGGTGGAAAAACATTACACACCTCAACCATGGTAAAATCACCCTAATATAATCATGGTGAAAATGTTATCCAAACCAATAAAATTTAAAACATTAAAGAGGCAGCCTGTGCAGGATTCATCCCAGCAAACAGACAGAGAAATACTCTCCAAAATAAGTAAACTCCCCTAACAAAAAGACAGAAATGCTCTCTGGATAAACATAACTGCAATGTTATTCTACAAAGTGTGAGAGCCAAAGTTCTAGTGACGGCAACAAAATAGATGAGTAAAAAGTTTCTGTGTCATGACAAGGAAGATGGGTCACCTGCAACAGCTGCCTGTCAATTTCCATTGTATGTCATGACTTCTGTCAGAACTGGGTATTGTCTTAACTATGAACGAAAACAGCAAATGGGAGGGACAGAGGGAGGGAGCAATGTAATAGCGCATGTGTGTGTGTGTGTGTGTGTGTGTGTGTGTGTGTGTGTGTGTGTGTGTGTGAGTGAGTGAGAGTGAGAGTGAGAGAGAGAGAGAGAGAGAGACAGACAGACAGACAGGCAGACAGACAGACAGACAGACAGAGAAAAAGAGAGACAGACAGACAGAGAAAAAGAGAGACAGACATAGACACAGAGAGAGAGACTTACGTGTCCAAGAGACTGCCCACGAGGAATGATTGTGACTTTGTGCAGAGGCGTGGCATCCTTTGTGTAGAACGCGACCAAAGTATGTCCGGCCTCATGGAACGCCGTGATCCAGTTGGTTTCTTCATCTGGAATACGATGCTTTCTCTCTGGACCTGATGTAACAATGAAGGTAAATTACTAGAGTTTGGGCAAAGACAAGCACTTCAACCGTATAGCAGCCATTAACACTTTGACACCTTATCTTGCAGATTGCCGATGTTTACCACCCAGTTTCATTGGATTTTCCCCAAAATGAGGTGGCAAAGTCTTAAGTGCTTGTGATAAAAAAGCAAGGCAGACTGACGGAAACAACAGTTTTAGTTTAGTTTTACTAGAGGGTTTTACGGCGCTCGCAACTGCATACGGTCATATGAGCGTCAAGGGGTGGGTGTCAACAGAGAAGTCTTTACAGGGAATCAGACTTACTCTGCTCACCTCTCTAGCTTCAACAGCACAAAGTCTGCTTCGACTATCAAGGTACTTCGGAAATAGCAGGTCACAAATGTGTGACAAACATACAAAAGAAGTAGAGGAAAATGACAATAGTAAGGATTAGGAAAGAAAGAGCAGCAGTTCCCAGTTGTAGATAAGGCACAGTTGTGAACGTGACATGATGAATCAGCCCATTTACAATTCTACTGTGCATGAATGAGAAATGTCCCCCCTTTGGGGATGGCCTAAAGACACTACAGTCAGTGGCATTGCCCCGGGGGGGGGGGGGGGGGGGGGGGGACACACGACCTACTGGTTGCAGCCTCCAACCACTAATAAAAACAGAAGAGTAGAAAGTATCTGTACCATGACAATCGAAATGTGTCGACTATAACAGAAGATTCTCAATCTCCACGGTATTCATGTCATGACACAGAGCTAGGTATGCTGTCTTTCCTGTGATGGAAACCAGCAAATGAGAGGGAGGGAGTGGGAGAAAAGGGAGAGAGATAAGAGAGACAGGAAGACATTAATTGGTCTGGCTTCAATGCCCCTGTACACCGAAAGACAAAAAGGTCTTCCCCTTTTCCTTACCCATGATGATTTTGTCCCGAGAGTGTTCCAAATGTGACATGGTCACTGTCTCCCGACCGTCAATCACAGCCTTCAGAGCAGCCTGGTTGATCAAGTTCTCCAACTCTGCCCCTGAAAACCATCAAGTCAACACGCTGTCAAAATGTTTCAACAAGCCCTGTCAACATTCCTAGTCCATCCCATAATCACTTTTAAAAGCTGGTGACACTTCTTTCCCTGTGCATAGCAATCATGCGAGACAAATCTGGATGAGGCAAGACTGGCCAGTTTGTATTTAGTCTCTACCTGTCTACCAATAGCCAAGATGGCAGACAATGTAATCTAACAAGTTTAGTGTAGGCATCAGGAAAGTATAACATATAGAGTAGGTCGCGTAAACACGGCCTCGTGGCCTTCCGACCGTGTGGTATCGGTGAAATCGGGGTAATTCCGATCGCTGTTTCTTTGCTCTTTCGCTATAAAGCACCAAATGCCGTACACCTTGTAAAAGTTCAGCTTTTCCTCGTTATAATGGTGTAAGTTGTTTTTATGTCCGATTAGTAGGAGCTGGAGAATCGCCGACGAAAGCAAAGTCCCTCGCGGTCGGAATGCGTGGTCGGCCGGTTGAAAAATTGACATGGGTGCATTCAAATGCTTCGCGGAACAAGGGATGATTAAATACCGTCTTTTCATTGGCGGAGAACTGTAGAGCTTTAAACGGGCTTTCCTGTGGTATGTATTTGGCCTTTGGCGTCTAAATAGAAAGCCTTAAAAAATACTGTCAAAATGTTTAAAGATCACTTTTTACACATAATATGTAAAATACCGGCTTAAAAAATATATTCAATAAAAGATCAGCTTATTTCCTATTAGAATAAAGTAATCAGCTTGGAATTATTTTTCATCAATCCTTCCGCGAGACTCAGAAAGCATGTGACCCCGCACGCGGGGTACAGTACAGTATAGAGCCGACTCGCTCGCCGCGGGGCCCGGTGCGGCGCCGGCCTGGTCAACGCTCTGTGTTTTTGTCGAAATAACGACAGATCATCGTGTTTGAGGCGATAAAATACTGATTTGTAATGATCTCACAGTCTTGAAAAAAATTAGGCTCCATATATTTGTTATAGTGATTGTACTCTGTTAATGTGGAGATGTTTAGTGCTCTTGGTACTCTTTTATTGTCTGTCAAACATGGGAATGCAGCCAGTGACTGACTTTAACAAATTTTATCAAATTTTAAACAACTACCATTTTCTTAAAAATTGACTGAGAGGTAAAAGAATGGTACCAAAATGCTCAGTGGATATAGGCCTTTCAAATGGAACTGATAAATTTGGCAACAGCTACTTTGAACATTTAGTTTCTGGTACCTATATAGAGCCTGTACTCAAGATTCGAGTTCTCACTTGAGTATTTCATAATTGCTTGGACTTATTCAAATCCAAAATACTAAACTGGCACAGCCCTGAAGGAAGAAAAATATGCAATGGGTTGAGGAAAAGTAGAGAATCAGTTGCGGATGGATTAGCTCCTTTAGCAAAGTTCATATCTGCATGTATCCCACACTACAAATCTCCCAAGGCACCATTTTACAGGGGGCTCGAATATATCAGACAATTGCAGCCTTGACGCTTACACATTACAGCACCCAAAAGCCAACTAAAAATATCTACGACAGGCATAAAAAAAGTATTCACATTTTTAACAATACAACAACAGCAATCAAAGAGTGAGAGAAGAGAAATGACCCACCTGAAAAACCTGTAGTACCTTTGGCCAGCTTATCAACATCCACAGCTGCAAAAGCAGAAGAGTCAAATACACAATTAAATATAAAGATATCAGTCGAATGAAAAAGTACACTGTGTTGCAATAGAGGTAAACTGTAACTGTTTTGTACCTTCACAGACATTATCTAGACCGTTTAGGAGGGATATCATTCCCCACACAGCCTGGAGTTGGCCCCTTTGCTCCCTCCCCACTCAACAAATAATCGTAATAATACAGTGATCTCCGGCTAATAACATGCTGGGTAAAAGTCTGAACAATTGCTCCAAGAGTGCAGCGTGGAATGGAATTTTTCTCAAGTAATTACCACTTGTAAGCACATGTTCGAAATCGACAATTCATTCTAACAGCATGATCGTTCCTGTGCTAATGTAAAAAATGGATCAGCCATAAAACGACTCACTTCATGTGGAACTAGTCGAAACAAAGTAAACACAGCATGTTCTCGTTTCAAAGACTTCTATAAATAACAAACAGCCCTTCTACTAACAAATGGAAACGTTGATGAGAGGAAATAATAACAATAATAATAATTATAATAATAAATTAAATTTATATAATGCACATACTGGGGTCTTTCTTTATTTTGCTGATGTAAAGCTCAATAATTTCCTTGCGTCCCTTCAGATCAGGAAGAGCCACGGTCACCTCGACGTCGAACCTGCCTGGCCGCCGTAGAGCCCTGCACAGAAGGGGTAGGAGGGTAAGAATACCGCATGAGAAGGCAAAAAACATAGAGCAACTAAGGAATTATTGCACAAAAGAAGACAACTTCAACAAAAATTCTGGTTTTGCTGAAAGCGCCTCCCCTACAACAGTAATTCCCTACAGAAATTACTTAGGCACAGCAATCGTACCAATAAGACATTGCCCCCATTATTGTCTCAGAAGCCTAAAAGGTGTTAATTACCAAGGTCGTGTAATAATAATGACTAGATTGTCTTTGGCAGACATGGCCATATTTCCTATATATTTCAATTTCATTTACAAACTGCACTCTTTAAACATTGAAAAACTACCTGCTTTGATTCTATTTTTAACAATTTGTAACATGACCCCGTGGAATCATGAGCTCATCATTTTTTGGGCATACAGAATTATTGGTATCATCTTAAAGCTTATTTATTTGTCTTGCTTTTGTTAAAAAAAACCCAGAAGTTGAGATATTTGTGATTGAAATAGGTGGGGGCTGCTTGGTTTCACAGGTAAAACAAGCCACAAAATGGCCACCAGTTTGGTGACTTCCATGGCTTGAGAGTCCTCGTAAACTGAACATTTTCATTTTTTGTGCTTTTAATCCCTTCGTGCCGTGCCTTATGACACACCTGGTACGTCATGAAAATGCAAAATTTTTTTCCGCTAGGCTTGCAAGTGATCCATAAACATAGATCTAGGCTTGCAGGCAGCCGCGTGCTCTTGTGCAACATAAATCAAAATGACTTTTAAAAGGTAAAAATATTAACCTTTTGACTTAGATTTGCAGGTCATTTGAAATTATGAGTAAGATGGGAGGAAACGGGGAATAAGAAAAGTGGCACAATCGAAGACTCAGTGTCTGAAATATGACACTAGTGCGCTAAATCAAGACTGTGCGTCCATTAACACTGAGACATTAGGCTGGCTGTCCTAGGTAACTAGCTCAGCTGAAAATCAGTGCTCACAGTAGGAACGTATATCCCCTGGCAAAGAAAGAGTTAATCAACATTTTTCAGTAAAATCCACACATAAATGTGTTTTTAAATGGGCACAAAAACTGCCAAATTGACATAAAGAAAAAAATTAAATTTCATTATTTTCATGAGCGCTGGATCTCACCACGGTGCCTCACATAATTACAAACAGTAACACCCCCAGTTTCATAAGAAAACCTTTTAGAAGGCCACCACGGCTGCTTCTATTGGGACGAGAAAACAAACCTAATAAGCAGCTGAATTTTCCCCCCAAAATCAGATCAACATTACAGATAATTCTTATGAGCACACATAAACACATACTTGAAACAAATAATACAGCAAGCACCATTTTCTAACCACACAAAAGTTGAAACACTTACTTATCCATGCACACATAATACTTGCAACTTACTTATCCATGCACACATAATACTTGCAACTTACTTATCCATGCACACATAACACTTGCAACTTACTTATCCATGCACACATAACACTTGCAACTTACTTATCCATGTTATCCACTTTGTTGGTTGCCCCCATCACTATAATTCCCTCATTCTGTTGAAATCTGAAACAACAACCATTACACAGAATATTACAATGATAGCCATTAACTCAAATCATTTAGAAATAGCATTTTGGTTGTGCATAACTGCTCCAAATTGTTCTGCTCTCCTTCTCAGGACTGCTCATCCACCAGCATATGTTTTAGTATTCAACAAATTAAAAAAAGGTAGTGTCAATTGCCACGGGTGATGCGGTGACGATTGAGCTAAGTTTGTGTGCGTTTGTGGCCTACTTCTAGAATCGCCTGCGTTGGTTCTACACCGAAGCATAGGCTAGCCGACGGCTCATTCAAAATACGTCAAGTTGAAGTTGGCAGCTCTAGATGTTCGTCCAAGGAAATAAGAAAAAAAATTGACCCACTTAAGACGTGAGGAGCTCAAAAGGATAGCAAGGAAACAAAACTTTCATTTTACGGTAAACAAAATCTTTCAAATCAGCTTGATTTTATGCAAAATGATATTCCCTGATAAAAATAAGTTTATAGATAGTTTTGAATACCATTGTGCAAGTAAAAAGAATTTGAGAGCAAAGCATTTGAAAATTGACCAATACTATATTCCTTTCGAACCCCAGATTGTGTGCAACTACTCGTTATAATGACTTATCAACTTATGAGAGGGGGTTGGATCTAGATCTAATGTATCCAAGTGATCGTAACACATTATGAATAGAAAGCAAAAGGTAGAGCGTTGTTTTCAGACTTGACACCGCATCACTCGGTGGCAATGGACACTATACCGCGTCAATAAAGTGAATTGCCACCGTTTCACTCCGTAGCAATTGACACCAGCGTCATTTAAGTGAATTGCCACCGCGTCACTCTGCGGCAATTGACGCTACCTTAAAAAAATTAGTTACCTGGCTCAAAGATTCGTTGCCACAAACAGGTTTACATCATATACAGAAGTAAGTTACCAAACCAGATTTTCACCTTCGCATAAAGGTATCCAGTCTGACTCAAGTGGATTCACATCATTACATTACATAGGCCGCATTATGCATTACTCACCCATCCATCTCATTCAGAAGTTGGTTGACTGTCTGGTTGGCGTATGGATGGATTGCAGAACTAGTCCGTTTAGCTCCCACTGAGTCAAACTCGTCGATGAAAATAATACATGGCGCTTGCTCCTTGGCAGCAGCTGTACAATAAAATAAAACACAATAGAAAAACTTCGGACAATGCAGCCTTTTCCCCCGTAAGACACAAATACAGAAACAGCTGCACAAAAAATACACATAATACAGAACTACCAATACAGCATTTTTCCCTTATAAACAAATGTAGAAACATGAAAACAATCAATACCTACTTCACAGTAGACAGAAAACGCTGGGAATCCTACACATAAAACTGTATTTATCCATAATGACGTGCCTTGCGTTTCATGACAGGACAATGCAGAAAACTTGTACTTACAGAATTTCTGACTTGCGCCCATTTTGAGCCTAACCACCCTTAAAAACACCCATGACCGGCTATAAGACAGAAGAGCAGTGTAGTGAATTGTCCCAGGACAAGCTCGAAACCTGACATGCTGACTTGTGCTGTCTCGCTACAGCAAGCAAGCGGCAGGCGCAGGACCGCTCGATGGCGGCAAGACCGCTCGATGTGTTCAAACAGCAGTACCGTTCGCTATGTGAACTTCGAACCATGGAGGAAGGGAGAGGCTGGGCTTGTTTTGGTGAAAGACGTAGAGAGCTGAAGCTATTTTTAACTTCCCGCAGTTGATCAGCTAAGCAAGTGGATAAGTGATTTTGTATCGTATGTAACCTATTTTGTAGATGTGTTACACTCACAGTGACATTATACAGAACATTTAGGAGACGGGCTAGGCTTGCTTCAACCCAATGTAAGGGCCAACCTGGGCTGAGAGGGAAAAACACCCCAGCAGAAAGATGGAGGTTCTCAGTAAAAATTTCTCCCCATACGGGAATCGAACTGAGGTCTTTTGCGTGCACTTTTGGTGCAAGCCTTTCAATGCAAATAACCAGAGAATCTTCTGTATTATGTACTGAGCCCACAGCCACGAGAGTTTGCGACGTCACGACACAGTACAGCAGGACTGTCTGCGAGTCACAACTCACCGGAAGTTCCCTCCGGTAGCAAGCGGGAGGCAAAACAAATCACAAGCCTGCTTGCAAGCCTCTAGCGCAAGCCGTCCGCTGCTTTGCAAGCCTTCGATTAACCGAGCAAAATCCAGCCCTACTAAATTGTGTTGGTAAAGGTGTAAAAGCACTAACTTACAAGAGAAAATTTAAAAAATAAAAACAAAGGCAAAGAAAACGTCAAATTGTCTTCATGACCCATTGAAGAACTGACATTTCTCTGATGTGACTTACTGAAAAGCTGTCTGATCCGCTTGGCACCAAGACCAACAAACAGCTCATCAAACTCCGACCCCGAGGCGTGGAAGAATGGCACCCCAGCTTCACCTGAGAACGGACAAACATTTATTAATAACTGACACAGTAAAGAGAAGAACTAAGATAATTTTCACTTATTCCATTGCAAGAAATTTATTCTAATAATATTGTAATTGAAAGGCAGCAATGATTTTCTTTCACTTCCCTTCCTCCTCTTTGTGTTTTCATTCTCCAAAAGAGTATTTTCACAAAAAAAAAGCTCCAAAGATCCTTTGATGGATCAAATTGAAGTAATCTCCTATGCATCATGGCAATCACAATTCATTGCTATCTGTTCCTGTGACCCCAGATCCGCATGCTGGGTAATTTTCATTCCAAATGGTGATGGTTGGGGAGGGGGGCTAAATTTTATTGTTAACCTCTAACGACGGTACAGATGCCAATCAAACAAAACTTGAAGGCCATAGTTCAAAGAAAAGACAGTTAACACAATATTTTACTCGGAGTCAGAAAAAGTCGATGATCACTGGTGCTGTGGAAGTTTACACGGCGTCTTTGAGTTGAGCCAAACAACACCACTGGAAGAAGATTCAGGCAAAACCGAATCAAACAAATATAGAACCAAACTCGAGCACCCCTTCTGTCATCATGGTCAAAAGCACAAAGTATGACATAAAAAGCCACAAAGAGATATTCTTTCTCACCTGCCACGGCCCGGGCCAGCAACGTTTTCCCCACCCCTGGTGGTCCCACCAGAAGTACACCTGCACACAAGGGAGAAAGAAAGAGATACAGCCAGTGTTCGTAAAGCAACAAACAAACCTATATTCATGTGAGGTGACACAAGTATCCACTGTAGATATTTTATCTTACATCACCTACCCACTACAGACTGTCAAAAACAAAAAAACTATATTCATGAGGTAACACACAAAGAATCAACTACTCCAGTATGACTTCAAAAACTAATTTTACTTGTGCTAGACTACCTGTATATTGACAAAGACAAGCTCTGTCTCCTGCGCAAAATCCTATTTCCTGCCTCACACATTCCGTTTTTCAGACAATACACACAAACCACAGCATGCACCAACACACACACAGATGTACACATGCATGGTTCAGATTTCTCACTCTCACATTTGGCACAATATATTGTACTGAAGAAAAAACCAAAATCATCATGAACATACAGAAAGATGGTGAACAAAGTAGTATAATACAGACACAAAAGCTATAAGCATCAAAGACATCCGTAATCCCTGCACGTTTCTTGCAACATGGCAAAGAGGCTCAAGGCCATAACACAACAGTCCACTCGCAAAAATACATTTGTGAGATTGTGAGAAAGCCAGCCAATTTGCCACGAGGATACTTTACCTTTGGGAAGTTTTGCACCTAAAGCTGTGTATTTTTCGGGGTCCCGTAAAAAGTTGACGACATCTTGGAGCTCTTGTTTCGCTTCTTCAGCCTGAAAAAAATAATTGTTCAGGATCAGCATAACTTCTTGTCATATTTAATTAGACAATACGATAAAATCATGATAATCTGATAAACATCATATGTGAGGCAGCGTGGTGGAATCAGGCTCTCGTCAAAATAATCAATATGAAGAAGCTTGCATTTTTCTGCAGGTTTGTTAATTTTTATTAAATTTTTGTTTTTTGGCTCAACACTTTTCTTGCCCATTAAAGAACTCATTTCTGTGTGGATTTTTCTGAAAAACGTTGATTAAAGGCACAAAAAATAAAAATGTTCAGTTACCACAGACTCTTAAGCTAAAGAAATAACTAATCTTTGGCAGCTATTTTCTCATTAATTTTACCTCTGAAAACAGGCGACCCCCACCTCCTTTATTCGCAAATATCTAGACTTGTATTGAAGATAAATGGATATTTTTTTTCATCCAAATAAAGACAAGTGAACCAGCTTTAAGATGATACCAATAACTCTACATGCCCAAAAATTGATGAGAGCCTGATTCCACCACGCTGCCTCACATATTCTACCGCATCATTAAAATTTGTGTAGTACAACAAAAGGACATTCGTCTTTTTTTGTGTTCACTCAAAAGATGTTTTCCTTCCTAAGTACCCACTTGTCATCAAATTTATCCACACCGTTGCTGAAGGTTTTCCTACAGTCTTTTACACCCGGTCTAGACGAGTGGAAAAATCTTGAAGGCACCTCGTAGGCAACTCAGAAGTGAAAAGCCAGACACGAGCAGGTCTAGTTAGGCCACTGCCAGAGTGAAATTCTCAATCTCTATTCTTTCCCAAAACAGATGGCAAGGGACATTATATTCTTGTAAGAAAAATAGCCATGTTAATTACTTTTAGTTTCAGTGGGGGTAAAAGAACTTACTTCTACCAACTCTCCTCTATATAGATCTACCGGGGGGGGGGGGGGCCACAGATTAAAATGAAATATGCTCAGTCATATTGACAAATGATGCAGACATGAAAACACCAGTAAGTCTCATGGCAAAGATTAACCACAAAAATAAGTTTTCAGCTGACTTACCCCTTTGACGTCAGAAAATGTTACGTTTATTTCCTCTGCATTCACCTCGTACGACATGCTGTTAAGGAAGCCAAACGATCCCCCTTCAACAAGAAAAAAAGGACAAAATACACAGATAACAACACAGAAAACATACAGACGCCATTACACAATGACCGTTAAACATTTGACATCTACTGCCCTGATTCAAGTTCAGCATGGCAAAAGTTTCACGGTGCCCAAAACAGCATACTGTCATAAGAGCAGCAAACGGAACACAAGCCAATAGTTTTCATGAGAGTTCACATCATGATTAAGTTCTACTTCGCAAGATAGAACGGCTGAAGTATCTAAAAATACATGGCGAAATTTCAATCATAAAAACAGTTAATTACCTTCTAAAAATAGTACTGCTCACATTTTGGAGTAAAAACCAACAGTCCTGGTAAAATCAAGAATTCTGTTCGACTCAACGATGGAAAACAGATTCTTCAAATCAGTACCTTTAAAATATTTTTTTCCGGTCTCTCCAGAAGAGACGAAATAATTTTAACAAAATAATAATTTGGAATTTGGAATACCCCCTGACAAATAAATATCATATTCCCCAATTGATATGTATTTTATATTGCTATTCAATAGAAATGCTGAAACAGGAGACAACATTTGAAATCTTTACTGTCCTAGTAAAACCTGACGTGCATTAGAGACAAGTTCTCACTACTAAAGATACCAAATGAGCCCTGTAATGCAAAACACAACACTGTTATCCTAACCAAAGTGATAAGCTTGGAAACTCGTCTTCTGTTAAAGGTAAAATCTTTCGAATTTAAAAAAGAACAATATCATTTCTACGCCCTAAATCTGCAAACCCAGGCAGGAGCCCAACTCACCTGGTTTGATAGAAACTCCAGACGTGAACAGCTGGATCAACAGATACAGGCCCAAGGCTAAGAATACAAAGCTCCTGGATGGAAAAAAAGTTTACAAATAATTATTTTGCTTTCTCTTACAAACATTTATCATAGAATAATATTATTCAGTAAACAAGGATGGGTAAATCAACCAATAGCAAGGAATCTAAAAGTCTGATTTTTACATAACAAATGGGTGAAACTCTGTTTTTATTGTAGAAATATTTTTTTAGGTTCCACTGGACTATCATCTCAGCTGAAGAGATAGCTTCTCTAGTTTTAGTAAGAGCTTTATGCCACTTGCAACACAAGTCATATTATAGGTGCCGAAAATTAGAGCTATTACAAGAGGGAAACAAACACCAGAAAGAAGGAGAGATCAGAATGATAGAATTTAACAGGAAAGTGGGGGCAAACCACACCAGAGCAACCACCAATCAGCAGGAAAGAGAGTGCACAGACCCCACAAAGTTAGGTCGCTCACCTTAGACTACCAAACTTTTTCTTTGAACTTTCCTCTCTTGCCTTGTAGCCCTCAGCAAATGCAACCTTAAGTCTCTGCTCAAGCTCCGGATCTGTCTCTTGACCAGACTTTGCAGATGCCCCGACAGACTGGTTGGCTGACGTGCCAGCTTTTGTACTAACAGTCTGGCGAGTTTCAGAAAAGAAAAGATGTAAGGAATCAAGAATGTCGTAAGGTCTCTCACACTAGGGTTTGTGATGAAACTACAGAATACAGAATTAAGACCAAAAAGTCCCTAAGTAAAATAAACAAAAAGCTTAGATGAAGCTTTACATGAGTGAGCAGAAAATAAAAATTCATCTTCAGCTTTATTTCCAATCCCAATTACTTTTAAACGCAACTCACACACTGTCTCTGGAGTTTTTTCTGTCAAAAATCATCACAAAACACTTACTACAGTGTCCTAATTCAACGTTATATACATAATTTAAAAAAAAACTATCTTGAACTACTCTTCATCTGGCAAGAATGATTCTCAAGAAGGAAAATAATTTTTGCTCAACATATATCACAAATAGAACCTGGAGTCAGCTCAAGTAGAAACTAAACCTAAAGCTTCCACCAAACCCCCCCCCAACTGGCCCAGTCAAAATGTTACTTACTGATTTGTCAGTCTTTCCGAAAAAATCTTGCACATTATCCATAATGGAATGATCTTCTTTATCCTTCCTAGAACCAATGCCAGATTTATAGTCAGAGCGGCGAGTTTTAAAGCCCCGGTGCTGAGAATCTGAGGAATAAATAACAAGGCATAATTTCAAATCACCTCAAATGCATGCATTAATACTGAGCAGCATCATACAACACAATGCAGATAAATTTTGAGGCAAAATAAAAGTGAAAATTAATAAAGGTACACAGAATACCTACCACAAAGAAAGAAAGAAAAAAATAAAATCCATCCCAATTTTTACATTTCTCTTATTACATCTTTCATACAATAAACAACACATTGCAATAATTCCCAGAGCATTTTCACGCACACAATTCACCAGGGACAGAAGCAGCCCTTCCACAGAGCAAAAATAAGAAATAAGACCTTAATTTTTTTGTAGTTAAGCATTATGAGCATAAATAATCATCTTCCACTTATACGCAAAGCAGATCTTTTATTTCAAAAGATTTGTTCATCTTTCAATGCATCTCAACAGTAATATACTAACTGAAGCATTTTGAACAGCGAGAACAATACAAAATCATTTAATTAAACTCAGAATCCCAAAGGCAGAATTCTATAATGCACTGTCCACAGGGAAGCATTAAATTGATGAACAAAAATGCCTGACATAGACAACCTGAAGATGTGGCTAAATGACTTAAACATTAATCCCTAGACATGGAAGGGTGTACTTTCTGAGAGACCCATTTGGGTAGCAGCAAATTATATGAGGCTTCACAAATTACAAATGCTAAAACCAAGGGAGAAGTGTGCAAAATACTCACATCCAAATAGAAGAAGCAACAAGCCATTTTAATCTTTATTTCTTTAATTTTGCTATAAAAGTAGTATCTTGCAGATGCATTAGCCATCATCACACATAGACGGATAGACCTATTACTCTTGTTAACAAAGATTGTACCACTGGAAAACCAATCACTGTTTTCTAGATCGCTGATTTCAAATCTGAAATAATTTTTTTTTCTATCACATCAATATTTTTTTCAGTATCAAATACATGTTTAATTCTTTTAACTGTAAAGTGAATTGGAATGGTCTAAAAACTAAAGTAGGGGTTGGGAATGATGCAATAACTTAACTACCTTTGATCTTGAAGACTTCTACTTGGCCTAGTTAAGAATTACTTTCAATGATGCAGTCACGCTGATAAAGTCAAGATGATACAGTCGGATTGATATTCTGCCTCTGAACACAACACCCACTCAGGATCAACCCAGACAAACCACCAATGCGTTTTCTCTGCCACTACAAGGCAGTCCTACATCTGCTCTTCGAATCTCTCTGCCTACAGGATCTCCAAATGGCAACTTCTACCTCCTGTTGCTACCACAGACAATACCTCAAACTGCAGCAAAGAAGGCCTCTTTTTGAGACATTGTTTAACCAGGCCTGGGGCCAAAGGGTACACGCTCAAAGGTTGATTAACATCGACTGCAAAAGAGAGTCGACCTAGATGTGTATATTTTACAGTAAAATGATCGGTGGTCAAATGAAGGCTGTAAAAATACGTTTCATTATTACTTTAAAGATGGCATTATGTAAAGGAATAATCCAGGCCCAAAACTCACACTGATGAGAATGAACCAAAGACTTGAAAATCCTCCTGAAGACTGGGTCCTTCGCAGCATTCTGCAGTGTGGAGAGTGGGAGGGGATGGTTTGCATCTAACTGGTGTCTTGGAAAGCCTGAAAAACAAAAAACAAAGCTCCATGGGTCAGTTTCCATGATCTTCAATACTTTTGCGAACTGAATTCAGTGTAAAAATGAACAGTAGACATTAAAAAAAGAATAATATCAATATCATCATTTAACCGCAAAAACATTGTTAAAACATTTTCATAAGGAAAATTTTTTTTATTAGACAAACAAAAAGAGATTGAGGAGAAAAATGAAAATAAGAAAAACAAAAACAAAACAAACTGAAACAGCACAAATAATATCAAAGCAAATTAAAGAATACTAACATGGAGCACTCCACCCTCTAGGCAATCCGATTTCAAAGAAATCTTGAAGTAACTCAGTACCCAGGTATCAAATTGATTGAGCAACACTATCTGCCAATCAGTAAGAATGTGATTAAATTGAAAAAATACACCTTTTGTTAATATAATCTTAAGGCTCAAAACAAATACAGAACTCATCAGAGCAAAAAATAGTTAAATATATAAATACAAACATTCACAACAACTAGCGGGGACACCGGCCCGGTTGTTTCATTTCTCCCTGTCTACAAGTCAATCACTTTTCCTTTTCATTCAAAAGCTTATTTTGAACACGTGTCAAGGTATATGTGGTGTAATGGTTAGCTCTTAGTCATGGTTAGCTCTTAGTCTTGTTTGCAAAAGGCAAGATTCCAAATACCACGAGGAAGATACCTTATTAAGTGTCTCCCAAACAGCGAGAGTTGAAAGCAGCCCATACCCTAAACAATGTTAATGCAGGGTAAAACTTGACTATTACAATAATTAGTTCCAAACTAAATGAAGCAAACTCAAACACAACTTGTACACACAAACAAAAGCACATACAAAGATCCTGTTCTACTCACCTGTTACATTTTCAAAGAATGTGTTGGCGGATGTGTGGCACTCTGACCACCGCAGGCTACTGTTTCTTTGGTTTGAACTGCGGGCCAGCTGCACCAGAGCTGTGGTCGGTGTGGTCACCGCATCATGAGTGTCACGCAACAACAGATTTAACTCAGAGACCTGCATGGGTTCAAACTGAAAAGAAAAGAAAAAGAATTTGAAATAAAAAAAGGAAAATAAGTTTAATTTTTAAAATTCACTAGAGCCAAATGAAGGCAAATAAAAAAAAAGGTAGTAGTATGACATCCAGCATAGACATAGAATTTGATAGTCTGTTGTAATGGAAATGGTGAAAATGCCGGCACTGTTTTTTTTGTGTTTGCTTTCTTTTAAATGTAGGTGTTTTTACACCTCACATTGACACACTTTAAAAGATGGGCTTCCAACCCTACCTGTCAGTGCCAACCCTGGCCGAGAGGGATACAACGTCCCAGACGAAAGACCGAGTTTCTCAATAAAAATTTCATCCCATTTAAGAATCGAACTCCTGATTCCTGCTTGTGACAATGAAGCGCCTATCTGTACTATATCACAGGTGCTGATGTCTGCACTATGTCTCTGAAGCAAAAACATTGACATTACCATTTGTATTGTTACTCAGTTTAAAGTAAAGTACTTAAAGAGGTATATTTTGAAGGTGCCTTACCACAACTTAAGATCCTATGATTCATGATATTAGCATCAATGAGGTGTTAAAACAGTTACAAAATTTGAGGCTACACTTTTATTCCCTCATCCTTTTCTTTAAAAATATATCAAAGCATACACATCAGTCATCAGTAACATTCAAGACGAGAGATGAGTCCAATTGGTAGCCACTGTCAAATATCTAGCAATGCAAAGTGCTGACAAATATCCACTGGAGCTAGAAATCAAATGTCACACTTAGAATAAAAATAGCAAAGATAGACCCAAATACCAAAAAGCAATCAAAGGAAAAAACAAACAAAAAACTGAACTGACTGTAAAAAAAATTGTGGCAGTGTAACAGCTCCTTCCACCTGTACAATACCCACCTCAATGTCGTGACAACACTCTGTCTTTGAAGTTGAGGAAGCTGAGACATTTTCCTTGTCTCTGTCTAATACATTTCTCTCCTTGATTCTTGCTTCCTTGTGGCTAGACATAGCTCTCACCCCGCTAAACATTGCATTGAGATGTGAGACAGCCACAGACACCTGGGAAGGAAAACAGAAAATAGGGAAAGGTACAACACTATTATTTTAGTCTATAGTTTTACTTATATTATATTTGAATACCCTTCTTACAATTATTTTTGTACACATTGATAACACTGTAGAAAATAATAAAAAGGGTAAAACTGAGTATCTATGAAGTTACTACATGAAGAAAGTGAAACGGACAGGCATTTACATCATAACCCCAAACAGAGGGGTGCTTCTTTTTTCCTAAACCTACCGGAACCGTTCGAACTCTACCGACAGAAAGAATACAGTCTTGCATTATATACGTACATACTCAAGCTCGGCAGAATCAGAGAGAAGTTATTGTGAGTGAATAAGTGCAGACATTTCAACTTGAGTGAACTCAATCAAATTTAACGGCTATAAAAACAGTACCCCAACAGAAGGTGTCTGGTTAGTAGTTTTACAGACCAAATGCCGATCCTGGGGAAAAGACGAAAAAAGATGGTTGCCTTCTATCCCAGTGGGATCTGCATCGTGGAAACAGAGGACACCCGTATCCAATGTGAGGTATGGGCATGTATCGAATTTACACGCTAAAGAAAAACCTTCTCTCATCATGATGTTTGTTTTTTTCTTCTCTAACCTGAATTCATTAATATACCAGTGAGCCAATTCTTTGTTTCGGGACAAAACAAGGACACTGCGTATCCAATGTGAGGTATGTATCGAGTATATGTTCTCAAGAAAAACCTCTCTTCCTCGACCCCTTCCCCCCCCCCCTTCCATGACTCTATGTTTGTTTTTTCTCTAATCTGTCTCACTGCCCCTCTCTTACAAACTCTCTCTATATAATTCCCTCTCTCTTTATCTCTCTCCTTCACTGTCAATCTCTCTCTGTGTCTCAACTATTCAATCTTAATGTCGACCGTAACTCTCTCTCTCACTGTCCCTCTCTTACAAACTCTCAATAACTCCTTCTCTCTTTTAAAACCTCTCTCTCCCTCTCTGTCTCATAAACATTCTCTGTTTCTATCTTTTCTCTCTCTTATAAAGCCTTTCTCTCTCTAGCCTTGATCCATCAGAGATAGCACAGTTTTGGTAAGTTTATGAAAAAAGAAGCACCGAAACAGAGGGCTAGGCTAAGATGGAATTGCTATTAGCTGGCAGGAATGTTGTAATAAAGGACTCAATTTTACAATAAAAAGGCTACCTTTATTCTCATCCCGGGTGAGAATAACCCATGTCTCACTATTCTCACCCCCCACCCCCTCGGTGAGAATAGCTCCCATCCCGGTGTGGCTTGAGGCAACGATTCCCCCCTGACCTCTCGCAGGCCAATAAAATCACCTAGGTCTTTGGTGGCTTAAACCGCATGTGGTTGGGAACCCGGGGCGAGAATAACCATTTCCTTACCAAAAAATCTCATTTACATCAAAATAAAACAAGGCTCATTAGGCTTATATTACCAGTGTTGTAAATGAATTACTGAAGCATTTGATGGTATTTATTTGCTTATATATATATAGGCCCCTAATGCTAAACCTAATGTGTAGTAATTTTCCATGCTATAGGTATGGGCTAATAGGGGAGGGAAGTGGGTGGGGGTTGGCATGTCCCATGGCCCCTTGTGAAACTAGCAAATCTGGAGAGGGTTTCAACCCCAGGAGGTGTATATGCCCCCAACCCCCAACCCCCGTTCCGTTTGTTCCCATAATCCCATACGAAGTGACTGTTCAGACTCGAGTCTGATTAAAGAAAAAATATTCGGACTCTGACTCGAGTCCGTTGTCTGCTAGGCTAAATATTTCACGCATTTATGGAAAATCAAGACGTAAGCTTAACGTTAAGTCCCCCTCCGACCGTTATATTATGAAACCTCCTTACTAGAGCTAGATTTTCTCTAAACTGGCCCTCTCTGCATCATTAAATTAGGCCTAGTAATGTATTTTTTTTTTCATCTAATACTAGGCCTAGGAGGCCTTCAGAACAACCAAATTGAGTTGACCTTGCCTGGGGCAAAGTTAAATATAATATGTCGTCCAATGAACTCTCGGCTTGTTGGGGGAAGGGGTGTTGGAAAGAGGCCACAGCTGCTGATTTTGTGCGAAGCAATTGTTTTTTTAATTTCTTCCCTTAATTAATTAATTACAGAAAAACTATAACGCCCAACAAAACAAAATTTTACAGGTAAGAAAAATGGTGGTGGAAGAAATGATAATATTGATAATGCTGAAGAGGTGGTGGAAGTAATCATGAAGCTGTTGACTGGTAGTGGTGCCCGGGGCCGGTTACCATGTAGGCCTATCATGTAGACTCTTGAGTTGTTGGTTACTGTATGTAGACACTGCCATTGGGCAAAAGGGAGTAGTCTTTTGACTTTTGACACAGTTACACACACCTAGTGGGGAATTCTAGTTCTAATTCTGATTTTACGTAAAATCCCACGATGTGTGTGTACATTATCTCCTTACACTCACATAACTCACAAAGTTAGAAGCAGAGTCCGAATAAAATAAAACAATTTTTTTCGGACCCAAGTCTGAAATAGATAAAAAATCTAGTCGGACTTGAGTCCGAAAATAGATAAAAAATCTATTCAGACTCGAGGTGGCCAATCCATAATTTAAGTTGATGTTTTACAATTTGTGAATTAGGTTTTAATTTTAAATTCTTTATTAAAATGGAGTGTCTATGTATACGGTAACCGGAAGATCCACCCTCGTTCTTCACAGAAGTATCGCGTTGTGCGACTCGCCGTGTTGTATGTGCACTATGCTAACTCCGATATTATCTGATGTGTTCATTGTGTGAGGCCACGTTGTTAGACAATGGCCATTTCAGCTCCTTTTTTCCTATAAGTTCATAGTCATAGACACCTTGTATAGATCTGGATGCATGACTACTCCATCTGACCGGTACAGCGGGATTTACCTGAATCCACTTTTTTTCTATGAAACTTAAGTACTTATAATTAAATGCTTGGGTGCAGCAGGGCAATGAAAGTCCTGAACTTGGACAGAGTCGGAGAGATCGAGCGAGCTCTAGGGGAATGGGGTTGGACAATGGGGGGCTGTAGGCCGGCTCCAAACAGGCAGTCAGCGGTGTGGCATTGTGATTGGCCTATCCAGTGATGAATGAGGCGGGGCAGGCGGCAGAGAGAGATGCTATGACGCATGTAGGAGTGTGTGTGTGTGTGGGGGGAATGCGGGCAGCACTGATTGTACTGCTAGATGCGAGACGAACGCAGTCTCTGACATCAGCTCCTGGTGTCACTCCCGGTACCAGTACGGTATTGGCGGTCCTTTCGCCGATACCGCCCAACACTAATTTCTAAAGCGGAAACTTGCCGACAGCGGATTTCTTCTTCTGAAACCAAAAATCCCACTGTATGTATAAACAGCTGTTCATTAAATCAAAATCTCAACAAATGTGTGAATGAATAGATTTTAAATAAAATGGACTTTCCATTTGGTATATTTGCAACTTTTTCATTCACATGCATTTTTCTTCCAGCGTTTTTAAAAGCACAATAAATCAAATGATTAAATGAATGGTGTTAGGTGGAGAAGTACTTAGAATTGTTTTAAATCTATATTTTCAAATCCATATATATGGATTTGAAATACATTTTGATTTATGGCTGTGCCATCTTATTATTTTTGGGAACCAGACCAAAAATAATGGGAAACAAACCATACAATGGTCTCATTGTGCCTGCTGTACATTCCACTCACAACACGCAAAAAGCGGGGGGGGTGGGGGGGGGGGGGGGGGGGGATGAAAGAAGTCAAAGTCTTGAAGGAAGCTAAGCAGTTACTGTGCACCTAGCTCATGGGGCCCCAGAAACACAAGAGACTAAAAGTAGAACGTCAAAAACTATTTTTACGTAAGGCAGTCATCTTGTGCGACGTCAGATAGGGACCCCTCCGATCACGTGACTGCATCTATATAGCCAACAGCATGGTCCCAAAGATCGGGCAGAGAATCTTAGATAGAACAATGCTTTGGTGCTGTTTTTCCAGGAACACCGGTAATGTGACATGTTGTGGTGCTCCGATGCTGCTGCTAATTTCTTCTTCACATTGTTTATTGCGTTCGTGGTGGGGGGTATAACCCGGCTTCTTTACGGCAATTTTCGTGAACTTCATTGGTTGGGCAATTGCGTTTACCGAGTTTCAATTTCAAACATCACTACTGACTGGAATTCCAAAATATTATTCGAAGTGGCTAGCCGTACTTAAGTACGGCTAGACTTAAGTACGGCTAGACTGCCAGTCTAGCCGTACTTAGATCTAGGTTTGGCCCTATCGACTCAAGCCTGTTAAGTACACAGGTCTCATTAGATCTAGATCTAGCAATTATTCAGGTTCAAATACATGCAAGCCAGTAAGGCACCTTTTGGTTTTGTCTGAAATACAAATAATTTAGGCATAGCAAAATAAAAATTTCATTTACAATTCAGCCATCAATATTAAGTACAGCTAGCCTGACAGTCTAGCCGTCCTTAAGTACGGCTAGCCTGGCTGTCTACCCGTACTTAAGTATGGCTAGACAAGAAGTCTAGCCGTTAAAAGTACGGCTAGACTGCCAGTCTAGCCGTACTTATCTTAGGCCCAAATAACATTAGAAAACAGGAGGTTTAAAATACACGCACTGTCATTAAGGCACCTGGTTTCGTCTCAAATACAAATACTTTAGGTACTGTACACTAAAAATTTATATTTACAATTCAGTAGGCCTATTTTTTTAAAATGGTCAGTCTAGCCATCATATTTAGATTATATTAAGTATGGCTAGCCTCTTCCAATATTATTAGTTAGGCTAAAGGGCTGCAGTTAGCCGAAAGCGTGAAATTTTATCGTGCGAAACACATATACACGGATAATACGCCACGCTATTGACCCAACATGTCATCCCATGTGGTATCAAAGATTCTCTACTACACGATCTTTGATATCACAACGGCCATCTAAAAATAGTCTGTGGATATCCCAGGATGTGATGACATCACATTACTAAAATTAGCCACCAATCAGGCAGGTACGTCATTCTTCGTTTAGCCGCATGTCCTGAAACTAAGTACCCGCCGGTTACCCTGTACTCTGTACGCAAGAGTAGGAAGATACACTTACACTGAGACTATGTAGGCTATGTGCCCGATCGTAAGTAACATTAACAGCCGAGTACGTAGACAATCCCTTTTATTAGGCCAATTTAGCCTAAATGAAAACGAAGTGATTATTCGGACTCGAGTCCGAATATTAAAAAATGTTATTCGGACTCTGATTCTTGTCCAGCATGACATCACTTCCGACTTCCTGTGACTCGTGAATCCGGCTTCCTGTCCTGCCTCACTCGTGACTCGCCTCAGGCTGGGTAGAGACCGGGATCACTTCGGGCAAAAAGGCGTTTTGTGCAGGAGCCGAGTTTTAATCTTTTGATGAATTTGAGGCCGGCCTGAAAAGTTATTATATATATAGCGCTTCTAATAAATGTTTATTTATCAAGAGGTCATCAGAAACAATTAAAGATGGCTCGTTAGCATGTGTCGGGGTCGGATGGGCGGCCTGCACACGTGTGGCTGTGTGCGTGTCGGGGAGGGTGGTGGGGGGGCACTATCGGTCCGGGCTTTGAACATCGCATAAGCGTCGGTCTTTTTCCCCACGGCAACTGATCATTATTACAATAATAAATAAGCTAGTCTTGACGTAGATCTACGTAATGAATTGTGCGCTGGTCTATGGAATCAAAAGTTGCCGTATGCTCAGCTCTACACAGCAACACAACTTTTTCTTGGTAAACAATCGATATGACACAGGCTTGTGTATTTGAACGAATGGGTCTTTTTTTTTTTTACACAGCTCATAATATGCCAGGTGGTCTGCTAATCTTCAATTTTACCTTTTTCTACAACAAAGAAAGTAGGAAACGTGGGGGGGGGAGGCGTATCAATGAGGCGGCGGGCATTGGATCGGCAGATAAGGTGTGGGGGAAACTAAAAAATGGCGGAAAATTGCAAGCACTGAACGTTAGATCTATAGAACGAAGACACTTCCTTTTGGTAAGATTGAATTTTGGAGGACCCACCATTGAGGGGGGCCGGAACTACTTTTGGGCGTCGTGTGATGCCATGCGCTGTTCCACTGTTCTTCCTTGGCCGCAGTGCGGCCTTGCGGCCGTAGGCCGCCACGGCGTGCTCTCTCTCCTCTCCCTCTCTTGCCTGCATCCACTCACTTCGGGCTCATTTAGTCAACTGAAAGTTTCTACCGGATTTTTCCACCGCAAAGCCCGTGAGTTGGCGCGAGTGGCTAGACCCAAGCGTTGATTGGTCAATCTAGTCACGGCATGGCACCACCTCCACCATGTCTCCCCCTCTCTTCACTGGTCCGGTAAACTTCACCCGCGCATCATGGTATCTAATGCATAGCCTTGGCTGGCAATGTGGGTCCACTAAAGTTAAAAGGCAGAACCAACTATTTAAAATGTTCCTGGTCCCCTTTTCTTTTCTCTGTTTATTATTGATTTATTGTTTATTATTGATTTGCATTATGTGTGTTTTCTCAATTATCACTGTGGCCAGGGGGGCAGGCCCCCCTGAAACCCCCCCACCTCCCATCCACCCTCCGCTGTCGAATACTATAAGTTTTCGTAACCAAAGTGCTGAAGGTGCGGTCCACCAAAGCCATCCTCCAAGTGTTTTCTTAATTTTAACATTGTGACCAGGGGGGCAGGCCCCCCTGAACCCCCCCCCGCTGTCGACGTAATCAAAGTGCTGGAGGTGCGGTCCACCAAACGTAAGCCAGCCTCCAAGACATTACGCAACAATGGGCAATTACGCGCTCACGCGCTAATTTGTATTGTTTGAACTGATAAGTCATCTGGGTATCTCTGCATTGTCCCGCTCATTTTAGTTAGTCTCTGTTGTTTGTTGATGAGGCATGATGTCGAACCATGGCTTCCTATCATGACTATTTTGGCTTATTCCGTTTAGCGGAGATTTTACATTCCGATGGACTGAAGGAGTGGTTGAGAAGCAGACAACTTTTATTTGATTTTTCGGACACAACGTGTAATTGTGGTGCATATTTTTCATCTTTAAAGGACAGTTCGGCTTCTGTGGATAAGGAAATTTGGAGGTGCCAGAACAGACAGTGCAGGAAGAAATTAAGTAGCCCTCACTCACTCCGCCTCGCGTCGGTTCCTCGAGGAAGTCTTGCAGCCCTCACTCACTCCGCCTCGCGTTGGTTCCTCGGGGCAGTCTCGCAGCCCTCACTCCCTCCACCTCGCGTCGCCAGGAACTAGTTCGCGTAGCGGTCGATTAGGACCCATGACTGTACAGTCCGTTGTTTGCCTAGTGCGTATTAATAATATAAACACGGTGGGTCCACCAAAGTTCAATCCAGCCTTCCTTTTTTCCGGACCCGAGTCCGAATAAGAAATTTTTTTATTCGGACTCGAGTCCGAATATGAAAAAATGTTATTCGGACTCGGAAATTTTAGAAAGTGGCTATTCTCACCCGCCCGGAAGTTCTCGCAAGATCAACTCCTCCCCTCTTCTCTCTCTCTCTATCTCATTCTCAATACTGTCTATCGGTGTGGACGATCAAATCGACCAAAACAAAGTTAAAAAATGATGTTAAAACACAAAAGTAAATTAATTTGGTTGTCTACAAAGATGCTACGGCTATTTAACTTTTCGAATCGAGCCGAACTACGCGGGTCGCCATTTTGTTTTGCCCGGAAATTCTCGCGCTACTCCTTTCTCTCTTCTCTCCACTGCCCACAGAAAAAATTGTACGCTTTTAGTAGGCTACAGTTGTAATGGAACGTTTGTTCACGGCACAGAATTCTACAATTTTTCTGTTATCACAGTGTAGAATTCTGTGGTTTAGGGTGAACGCAAAATTTGGTGAACGCGCACCGGGTGAGAATAGCCACAAGACTCACCTGCACTATTCTCACTCCGGGTGAGAATAGGTGGCCTCGGACTCGAGTCCGAATAACGACGGCCTTGCCTTACTGGCCAAATGAAAATGGTTTGCAATAGGCGACAGTTCTACTAGTGATAGTGCTAGATCTAGTTGCCATATGATTATCATGCCATATGTGTGATCTGCAGCACATTGAAAATACGACCATTTCATTCGAGTTTGACCTCCAAAAGCAGTATCTGTGTGTGAGGAGTGAAAGTAAAACTTTACCACAACAATAGCTTGACAACAACAAGACATATATATCTCCTCTCCTTGCCTCCAAGTACAACAGACTGGTTTTTTTGTGCACTTACTTGTGGTTGACAAAAAGCCTGTGTGAAAACTGAAGAAGCCATTCTCTTGTTAACTTGTTGATGGACACACACTCACAAGGTGATGACTAGATTCTAGATCTACTCGTGAATGAATTTGTTGGATCCTGACCTAATTAATCTCTAACCTGTTGTGTAATGCAAGTACCTCAGTGTCAGTATCACTTCACTGATTTCTAATTCTGATTCACACACAAAAAAGACAACTAAAGACAAGTCTAAAGTCAGCCACCAGATTCTCGCGATGTAAACACAAACTGTCAAAACAAGACTGAGTAGATCTCTTGTGCTTGGTTTGCCTCCAAAGCGGTTTACAGATTTGAAATACGTTTGCACATGAACTTAGAAGTAACAATTCCTTCGCAAGAGTTGGGCCAAGAAGACGTTTCAAAACTGTACAATCAGGGACGTTCTTTCCCCTCTGTTTCTATAATTACAAGCGTTTCATCAGTTAGCTTACAAAACGGTGACCGACCGACCGACAGGAAGGGAATAGTCAGTATTTCAGATTTTTGCTGCAGCAATAAACTAAAAATATATTTTTAAAAACCGCTAAACACTAGATTCTATATCATGTGCATTTGATTGAAGAAACAGTAGCATCTAGATGAAAAGATAACCATGTGGCACAAAATGTTGATTCAAACGGATTTAAAGGCTATTGTTTTGCGCAGTTAAGAAGAACTGTAAGAGTGAGCAATAAAACTATCAATTCCCTGCTAACAAAACATATTTTAATTCCAATCTGGTTTAATCACCGGAACCTGCTCCATAAAAACTTGGCACTTTCAATCAGACTTTTACAAAAGAAAATACAATTAAGACAAAGGTTACCAAATTGATCATAAAAGGGCAGGACCCCTGCACTTTCAATAATTATAATTTAATTCGTTCATTATCCTCGACACGTTATTCCCATTTCTTAAGTCTCTGTCTGCCTTTTGCCTATCTGTGTGTCTCTGTCTGTCTCTCTGTCTGTCTGTCTGTCTGTATGTATGTCTGTCTGTCTGTCTGTCTGTCTCTCTCCCTCTCTCTGTCTGTCTGTCTCTCTCTCTCTCTTTCTCTCTCTCTCACTCTGCCCCTCCCCCAACCCCCACTTTTCTCTCTCTTCTTCCCGGATAGCAAGGCTCCAGGCCACTGCACACAAGAGACTTGGGTTGGACGGTGGTCCACATGGGCAGTCCGTACTTTTGAGTCTCACCAAAGAGTCTTTTTTTTTTTTTTTTTTACAAAGCTTTGGTCTCACTGAAGGTGGGTGGAGTATCTGTCAGTCATCATCATTGCCTTTCTCACCCTGCACCAGGGTATAGGCCACGGACAAACACCTTCCACCTTTCTCTATCCTGGGCTAGCCTCTTGATGTTATTCCATGTCTTCCCACTTTTCTGTACATCGATTTCTGTTATTCTTCTCCAGGTTTCACGCGGTCTTCCCCTTATCTCTTACCCTGTGGGTTTCAATCCAAAGTTTTCTTTGTTATGCAGTTGCTTGACTTCCTGAGAGTATCTCCAATCCATCGCCACCGCCTTCTTCCTACCTCATATCTGACTGAGGTCTGTCTTGTTTTCCTTAACACTTCCATATTGGAGATCCTGTCTGTCCATCTGATCCTGAGTAACTTTCTTAGACATCTGTTCAAGAAAACCTGGATCCTCTTTATGCAAGTCTGTGATGCGTTCCGTGTCTCACATCGGCACAACAGGACCGACTTCACGTTTGAATTGAAAATCCTCAGCTTTGTTCGAAGTGAGACATCTCTGGTCTTCCAAATCCTATCCAAAGATATGAAAGCAGCCTGTCCTTTTCTAATGCGGGACTTTATTTAAGCACCTGTTCCTCCCTCTCTGTCAATTATACTCCCAAAATAGCAGAAGGATTCAACGTTTTCTAGTGCTTTTCCTTCTATTGTGACCTGCTCCTTTCGTTGTGCATCTGAGCTTAGGACCTTTGACTTTCAGTCAGCCAATGAGATATAGAAAGACAAACACAGAGGAAATGTATGTGTGTGTATGTGTGAATGCGCGCGCGCGCGCGCGCGCGCGTGTGTATGTGCGTGTGTGCGTGTGTGTGCGTGTGTGTGTGTGTGTGTGTGTGTGTGTGTGTGTGTGTGTGTGTGTGTGAATATGTGTGCGTATGTGCGCGTGTATGTGGCATACAGGGGCAGCTCGTGGTTTGTTGAACTGACCGGCTGTCGCTCACATTGATCTCCCTCTGTCATCCACT